ACAACCGCATTTCTCTATACCAATAATAAACAAACAGAAACCCAAATAAAAAACACAATTTCCTTCACAATAGCCACAAAAAAAAATGAAATATCTTGGCATCTTCCTAACCAGAGACTTGAAAGAACTTTATAATGAAAATTATAAAACACTGCTCAAAGAAATCAAAGCTGACATGAACAAGTGGAAAAATATCCCATGCTCATGGATCGGAAGAATCAACATTGTGAAGATGTCCATCTTACCTAAGGCAATCTACAAATTCAATGCAATTCCCATTAAATTACCAAGAACATTCTTCTCAGACCTAGAAAAAACAACACAGGAATTCATATGGAAACACAAACGTCCAAGAATAGCCAGAACAATCCTCAGCAAAAAAAACCAAAGCAGGTGGTATCACAATACCAGACTTCAAACTTTACTATAAAGCTACAATCATCAAAACAGCTTGGTATTGGTACGGGAACAGGCATATAGATCAATGGAACAGAATTGAGATTCCAGAAGCAAAACCACAATTTCTCAATCAACTCATCTTTGACAAATCCCCCACCACCTACCTATGGGGAGAGGAGAACCTATTCAGTAAATGGTGCTGGGAAAACTGGCTGACCACATGCAGAAGATTGAAACAGGACCCCTATCTATCCCCATGCACAAAGGTTAACTCCAAATGGATCAGAGACCTAAATGTAAAACCTCAACCATAGATCTTAGAAAAGGAAGGAAATACTCTCATGAAATCGGAACTGGCATCCAATTCCTGTACAAAACCCGAAACCCACAGGACTTAAGAGAGAAGATAGACAAATGGGACCTTATTAAACTGACAAGCTTCTGCAAAGCCAAAGAAACCATCAAGAGAGCAGGAAGACAGCCTACAGACTGGGAAAAAGTCTTTGCCAACTCTAGGTCTGACAAAGGCTTAACATCCTGGATCTACAAGGAACTGAAGCATACTGAAAAGAAGAAAACAAACAACCCCATTATAAAATGGGCAAAAGATATGAACAGACACTTCACAAAAGAAGACATCCGAGCAGCCAACAAACACATGAAGAAATGCTCAACCTCACTAATTATCAGGGAGATGCAAGTCAAAACTACACTGAGATACCACCTAATTCCTGTCAGAATGGCAATTATCAACAACTCAAAAAATAACAGCTGCTGGAGAGGGTGTGGTGAAAAGGGAACACTTCTACACTGTTGGTGGGAGTGTAAACTAGTGCAACCTCTGTGGAAAACAGTGTGGTGATTCCTAAAAGCTCTAAAAATCAACCTTCCATATGATCCTGCAATCCCCCTACTGGGAATATACCCTGAAGAACACAAATCACTCTATAAAAAAGATACCTGCACACGTATGTTTATTGCAGCGTTGTTCACAATAGCAAGAACCCGGAAACAGCCATGCTGCCCATCAAAAGAGGACTGGATTAAAAAAATGTGGTACATATACACGATGGAGTACTACGCAGCCATAAAAAAGAACAAAATCATGAATTTCGCAGCAACCTGGATGGAACTAGAGTCTATAATACTGAGTGACCTTTCACAGAAACAAAGATCTGAATATCACATGTTCTCACTCATAAAATGGACCTTGAACATCCAATGCAATACTATAAGAAAATGACTGAAGGTACTGGGAAACTATGGGGGGGAGGGGGATGGGATTAACAGTAGCAAATATCTGTCTGGGGATGGGAAAACACCTCTTATCAATAGGGTGCCTGAATGAAATGTAATTGTACACCTAACCCTTAACTGTACCCCACAAAAACATAATAAAAAACACTGATCAATAAAAAAAAAATATATATATATAATTATTTGGAAGCCCTGATTTTTCATAGTGTCTAAATGTCACTCACATTTCTGAAATGAATATATTTTTTGAAATGAATAACCTTCACAGGCCTAGAAGTTAGTATATGCTTTAGGCCAGGACAGAGGATAATTTAAGAAATAGTCAGAACAACTTTACCAGTTACTACAGCCATGCTTTTGACACAAACCTTTACATGTTTAGCTCTCAAAACTAATTACTATATTCTTTTGTCTATACAACTAAGTTAGACAAAGGACATCTTAACTAATAAAAATGACCAAAGCCATTGTTTAACAGCAAAGGATTTGTGTGAGCGTACACATAAAATTTGAAAACACTTTCTGGCAATCAGCCAGAAATCTGCCCATTTTTAAAGTTACTTAAGTTTTTTTCAAACTTAATATATAAAAGTCCAATGATCTCAAGATCTGTACTAGAACCAGATGATCCATTATTTTTCAAAGAGTGTATCTTGGTTTCAGTTGATTCTTTGGACCAACATGAGATTTTCCGTTAGATTATTATTGGCTTAGATCTTGCTCATTCTAGAAGACATGTCAGAAGAAATCCAAAAGACCTCTTGTGTTTCTTAGAAGTGTTTATTTCTTCACCACACAACATCATGCTGAAATCTTAACATAGTCACACAACACAAATGCATATATAATCTATTAATGTGCTCTCATAAATTTTAATGAACTTTATGGCAAAATTTTTAGTTTTGGAGTGTGAGTCCTTTCAACTTTTTTAATGATACAGATTTTAAGCATCATTAACATGCAAAATTTACATTAATAAAAGATACTCAGCCGGGCTCGGTGGCTCAGCCTGTAATCCCGCGCCTTTGGGAGGCTGAGGTGAGTGGATTGCCTGAGCCTGCGGGTTGGAGACCTGCCTGGGCAGCGAGACCTCATCTCTACAATAAAAATAAAAAAAATCAGCCGAGCGTGGTAGCGCATGCGTGTAATTCCGGCTACTCAGAAGGCTGAGGCGGAAGGATCGCTGGAGCCCAGCAGGCGAGGCTGCGGTGGCCGGGAACAGCCATTGCACTCCAGTCTGGGCGACCGAGTGAGACTCAACTCAAAAAAAAAAAAAAAATACTCATATTGTTTGTTGATATAAAGTTGCTTTACATTCCAGAAATACAAATTTTTTCTCATACTGATTCTTGCAGAGTTTCAAAAGGCATTCTTAGTTGTTTCAATTTATGCACAGAAATATTTCCAAGTTGTGTTTCATTATGATTACTTCCTTGTTCTCTCACTGTTTCAGAAGACCCATATTTATGATATTTAAAATGAATGTTAAGAAACATATCCATACTTTTTGTCTGTTTATTCTACTCATTTCAATATTTAATAATTTTTTAAAAATAAAAAATACAAAACCACTGGACATTCACTAAACAAGAATTACAATGTATTTTTAAGAGGCAATAACATCTGCCTAAATTGAAGTTGATAAATTATGAGTTTCATAATTCCTCTACAGCATAAAATGCTTTACATTGAATGTCCAGTGTAGCCACACTACCCACTTATATTTGGGACAACTCCTAGAGAGTGATGAAATGGTTCTCCGGTGACTCTGATAAAAAGTCCATTGATGAATGGTTGTCTTGCTATTTTTGCAACAATTAGCTTGAATGGATAAATGCCTAGTATTAATATTTTTTACTACTTAACACAGTTACCATTTCAGTATGTATAAACCAGAAATAGAATTATTTAAAAATATTTCCACAAATAAAGTGCCCATACTAGTGCTTATTAGCCAAAAATAATCCTTGTCTAATATGATTATAAAGAGTATTGGAAATATGACATATTTTACAAGAACATGTAAAATGGTATTTGATTATGAGGCAAAAATGAATTATTAGAGAAGCCCATATGAACCTACTCTAATTGTTAAACTTCATTTGATGTCTACCAACTATCATTTGAAACAGAAAATGCTCCTCATCAGGTTGCTTAAAGCCCCCTTTACATCTTTATTCCTCAGGGTGTAGATGAAGGGGTTGAGCATAGGGGTAACCACTCCATAAAAGAGAGCCATGTACTTGGGCTGGTCGCTTGAGATGGAGGAAGAAGGCAGAAGGTACATACTAATGCCTGGGCCATAAAATAAGAAAACTACAATGAGATGAGAGGAACACGTCCCAAAGGCCTTTTTCCTTCCTTCAGAAGATTTTATCTTAAATACAGAATGCCCAATACTAGCATAGGAGGCAAGAATTAAGCATAGTGGAACAGCTAACATAAAAATGCATACCACAGAGAGTGTGAGCTCATTAGCACCCTTTTCACCACAGGCAGTCTTTATCAGAACAGGAATTTCACACAGCAAGTGGTCCAGTTTATTGAGACCACACAGTGGTAACTGTAATGTAACAGTGGCTTCTGAGACAGCATAGGTCATTCCGCTCAGCCACACGGTGGACACTAATAGGATACAGATGCACTGATTCATAATGAGGGTGTAGTGCAGAGGTCTGCAGATGGCCACATAGCGATCGAATGACATAATAGCCAATAGCAAACATTCTGTGCCTCCCATTGTATGAAAGAAATAAAGCTGAACTGCACATCCCATATAGCTGATAGTCTTCTGAGAGCTTCCCAGGTTAAATAGCATCTGAGGGACAATGCTTGTAGTATAACACATGTCCAAAAAGGAGAGGTTTGCGAGGAAGAAATACATGGGGCTGTGAAGACGAGAGTCTAACCTGGACACCAGAATGATGGCAATGTTTCCCAGTAAGGCTGTGGGATATGTTATAAGGAGAATAACGAATAGAGGAAGCTCTAGCCAAGGTTGGTCAGAAAAACCTAGTAGAATAAACTCTTCAGGGCGGCTTTCATTAATCAGTGGCATTACCTTCAGTTTGTTTCACCTACAGTAGAGAGTACCAAAGAAGTTAGGGTTATGGTCAATGGCAAAATATGATCAGGCATTGGTTGTCCAGTCATAGAAGATAGAATGCAGTAGCGATATAAAATAATATAAATTATCTGGCACCTAATGATCTAATTTTCCTTCATGAAACTATAGGTGAAAGGCAGTTCTCTATCAAGTAACCCAACCTTTCCAAAACTAAATTTTCTTCTCTGTGTAACAGGGATAACAGTAACTATCTCCTTTAGTTATGGTGAGGATTAAATAAAAAGTAGAATTGACTGTGTTTTGGAAACTTTATAGCAGTGGTTTTCAAACACTGGCTTGCATAAAAATCAGCTGAGGAGGCTGTTAGAATGAACTTTATTGTTTCTTATCTTCAGGCACCTGATAGAGTAGATGTAAGCATGGGGCCGAGGAATTTGATAGTTCAGTTTCAGAAACACTTCTGCAAGGCATTACTGAAATGTTAGAGTAAAAATATTGAGAACAAAACAAAAAACAAAAAGAAAAGAAAAAGGAGGAGAAAACCTGGAGCTATAGGAATCATCAAGACAGCCTTGTCCAGCCCCAGTTACGTAGTTGAATAATCATATTATCTCCATGGAAAGTAAGAAGATTTTGGATTTAACCCAATATATATTAGCAATTTGGAATTGAACAAGAAATGTAAATACTTTTATTGTCAGTTTTCTCAAGTATACATTTGGTATTTCTATCTAGTTCAACCTTTGGGCATTTGCTCTTTTATGTTAAATTTTAGTTAACTTATTCATCTGAAGAGATTTTCCTTTATTAAATGAAATTATCATACTGTTTTAATATAAGAGTTTGGACAGTTATCAGTGACTCATTGATTGCATATAACTAAAAATATAAATATATATATAAATAAATAAATTTAAATCCAGGTAACTGCTGTTAGGAGAAAAGTTGATATCCCAATTCAGGCTCAGAGAAATTAAAATCCAAAAATTATTTTTACATTTTCAAGATCTATTCCTTTGTTTTTCAAAAGGCACATTGAACTAACAAAGTCAACTAGTTTAGTGAAGCAATATTTTAAGAAAGATTAATTTTTGTTTATATACTTGTTTTTCTTTAGTGGTGAACTAGGTTTTTTGGAAATTACAATCTTCTGAAAGATGAGGGATATTCAGATGGAAAGTTAAGATCGCATCCCAGTAACAAAATTCTAAGTTATTATTCCAATCAGTTAGGTGGTCTAATAGTAGCAGATTACACTTGTAGGTTTACAAAGCACAGTTTCCACATTCTCTATTTCATCAAATCCTCAAATCCATTCTCTGAGGTGTCACACAAAGCTAGTCAGAGCTAAGATGTGAATGTTGTCCTTTGATTATATGCTATCTTAGCCTAGCTAGAAGTGTGTAATAAGAAGACTAATTCCAACTAATCCTTTATAAGTCCCATGCTCCAAACATGCCAATAAGCTTCTTATACCATTAAATCATTTAATATTTACCTTCAAACCCTATGACAAAGGAAATTTTAGTATCCATATTTTAGGATATTTAAAAACATTTATTCTCTTAATCTACTAATGACTAGGGAGGTTCTAAAAATTGCAAAGCAATTAATGTATTAAATGAAGTAGTAAAATATTAAGACTATGAATTCAGGGTTTCATGATTCCAAAGAAAGCATGTGCACTCCAGGGATATTTCCTGAATGAGTGTGACCTCCCTACACATTATGTGATCTTGACTTTTTTCAAGATGTTATATGAACACATCAAATTTGGAAGCATAATTTTTGCCTAGGTTATTTTTCAGATGAAAATCTGTGTTTCAGATAGAAAATGAACCGTAAGGGCATACTATGAATTAATTTAATCTCAAAAATAAATACAGTAATGCATCGCTTAATGACAGGGATACATTCTGAGAAATGCATCATTAGGTGATTTTGTCACTGTATGAATACCAAAGAGTGTACTTACATGAACCTAAATGGCATAGCCTACTACACATCTAGGCTCTGTGGTATAGCCCACTGTTCCTAAGCTACAAACCTGTATAATATGTTACTGCACTGAATCCTGCAGACAGTTGGAACACAATGGTGAGTATTTATGTATCTAAACACAGAAAAGTACAGCAAAATATGGTATAAAAGATAAAAACTGGAATACCTGTATAATGCGCTTATAAATGATGCTTGCAGGACCAGAAATCCCTCTTAGTGAATGACTGGTGCGTGAATATAAAGGCCTAGGACATTACTAGACACTATTGTGGACTTTGTAAACACTGTATATTTAGGCTACACTAAATTTCTGAAATACAAAGGGGGACTCCAAAACCCAGAACTTATTTCTAAAACATGGTGTATTCATTCTTACATGTTTAAACTTAAGTCACCTTCAAGGAACTCTCTGTTTGATGCAACATGCCATTGAGAGGCTTTTTCCACTGCTCAAAACAGTTTTGAACTTGCCAATTTTGATGCCTTTTAGTGCTTCTGCCATTTTTGGTTTCACTTCTTCCACACAAGTAAAACGTTTCCCTTTGAGGACTTTTTTTAATCTGGAGAAACAAACAAACAAAAAAAGTCACCTGGGGCAAGATCAGGTGAATAGGGAGTGTGGGGAACAGGAGTCATGTCAATTTTGATCAGAAACTGCTGAACACGCAGCACAGTGTGGGCAGGTGTGTTGTCGTGGTAGAAGAACAAGTCACCTGTTTGCCACAACTCGGGACATTTCTTCCACAAATTGTGATGTCAATGGTCAACCAAAGTTTTTATCTGGAAGTTTGGAGAAAGTTGAAGATGACTGAAGTTTAAACATATAAGGATAAACACAATTTTTTAATAAATAAATCAGGTTTTGGGGGATTTCCCCTCGTATTCCTTTTTCTTCAATAATAAATTCATCTTAGCTTAATGTAGCTTTTTTACTTTATAATTTTTAAATTTCTCTAACCTTTTGACTTTTTAAATAATACAAGCTTAAAATAAACACATTGCACAGCTGTACAAAAATAATTTCTTTCTTTATATCCTTATTCCATAATCATTTTTATTTTTAAATGTATTTATTTTTTACTTAACAATTTTGGCAAAAACTAAGACACAAACATGCACATTAGCCCAGGCCAATGTGTTAGGGTTGGGACGATCAATACCATTGTCTTCTACTTCTACATCTTGTTTCATGGGAAGGTCTTCAGGGGCAATAACAGGCATGCAGCTGTTCTAGGATAACAATTTCTTCTTCTTGAATACTACCTAAAGAAACTGCCTGCAGCTGTTTTACAGTTAATTTAAAAAAAATAAATAGGAGAAGTACATTCTAAAAAAAAGTATAGAATTATAAATACATGAGCCCGTTAATAGTCATTTATTAACATTATCAAGTATTATGTACTGTACATAATCGTATGTGCTATATTTTTATATGACTAGCAGTACAGTATGTTTATTTATACCAGCATCTCCATAAACATGTGAGTACTGTGTTTCACTATGGATGTTATGATGGCTAAGATATCACTAGGCAATAGAAATTTTTTTAGTACCATTATAATCTTATGGGACCACCATCAAATGTGTGGTCAGTCACTGACCAAAATATTGTTATATGGTGCATGACTGTATTCTAAAAATGTCAGACTACACACATATGTTAAATAATTGTACTACAAGACACCTACCATCTATTGATTTAGCATTCTTGCATTCTCTTTTGGTGTTTTTTTTTTTACCATGGACCATCCTTCAATTTTTTTAAGCATAATTTTATATTTGATCCTCCATGAATTCTTTTATACTTAATGATATCTAACTCTAATGATAGTATTCACTGAAGTATGCTTTCAATAGTTTTATTAAATTTGTGTTATTTGGGATTTTGTTCCGATTATTCACCTTATTAAGTGTAGGTTTGTTTGTGAATGGTGATTACCCCAGGGCCCCTTCATTTCTCTGGATAATTCCCTGGAAACACAGACTAGGTATGACTAATCAATGTGATTTATTCTTGAAGTCTAGTTAACTTTTATAATTCTATTCTTAGATCTCAAATTTTTTCCATGTCATTCTTACATTTTGTTACTTATAGCTGTTTTTTTGGATAGTGTACTTTGAGAGATTTCCCATCACTAATTTGCTACATGGCGAATTATTTTACCAGGATGTTTAAAGTCACTTTAATAAATGCCAGACTCTATTCTTGTTGACATCTCCTTTTTATCTCCATTCACTTTTCATTCTAGTGTATCTTATACTTTTTTTAAACCACACTAAGTATTTTATTTATATTTACTTTTTAGCTTTCTATATAACAAAAGATTATAAAGAGAAACAAAATTATTTTTATCTGACACTAAAACCTGGGTGAAACATGTGGACAAGTCAATTCATCAAGTTTTGACCATATATTTACAAGGTTCACATGACTGAATGAAGGCTTCATATTTCATTCAGGTAGTTAATAATTGTAAAATACAGTGTTTATTGAAAGTTAATTTATTTTAAAATTGGTTAAGTGAGAGACAGAGAGAAATTAGTCACAAAAAGAAATCAAGTTGCTTCCTAGAACCACTGAACTAGGTATTTTCAAAGTTTAGAATAGGCTCCTTGAAATAAAATGCTCTCTGTATATGTCAGACACTATGATCTACCCACATTTCTATCTTCCTTAAGAAGACATGATCTTTTTACTCACCTTATTTTGATACAGATCTTTCAATAAAAAGGAATTGTGAATTTTTCACACTTTCAGAAGAAAATGGAGAAACTGTAGTACATAGATGAATATTTACAAGCATTAGCTTCACAGCTGTTAGTTTTCCAGTTAGTACAAGGGTACCAAAGAAAAGAAAGGCTAGGTTATGAAGACAACAGTAGAAAACATCAAGAATGTCTTGTGGATGTGTTATTTGTATATTCCTGAGACCCCTTGGGCATTGTTTTCCACAGGCCATTTATCCTTATCCCAAATGAGGCGTTAGCAG